TTAAAGGTTTTTGTTTGACCTGAAAGTTCTCTGTGTAAGAGAAGTGAGAACGAAGGTTAAAACTAAAAATGTAAAGCGTAAATTGAGTCTTTTGGTCGGTTGAATTTTATTAATACTTAGGTCAAACACAGAATCCTATAACTGACAGAATTGAGGGATTGTTTTATAATACGGACCTTTTTTCCAAATCAAATTTTATTTTATTCTTTTCTAGTCTCTGGAAGACGTGATGAAGGACGTAGCTGGCGTGAAGAACCGCACGTACCGCAACTCGGCGTACAAGATCCACCGCGCCAACAAGCCGCCGGTGTACCTCGCGGTCGAATGCGCCACGCCCATCCACACGCTGCACCTCGTACTCAAAAACCGCACGCTGTATGACGGTGAGTGACGCGTGACGCGTGAAGCAGGGTGCTCATCATAGTCTGATCTGCGAGCACGTAGAATTTTGTCCAATGACCCCAATGCTGTCGCGCTCGCACACTCACTGCAGGCGCCCGTCGCACAGTCGCGACAGCAATATAATTACGCGCGAGCGTTAAGAGCGTTGTCACATTTTTCATGCAGAAATCGAGAATTTGGCAGATTTCGAAATTATTTTAGTCATATAATTTATTGTTGTAGCTTCTTTTGACTTATATCATCGTAATTATCATACGTTTTTACGGAATGTCTATTGACAAAATCTCGTNAGACAAATAGTTTTATAAAACGTCAACTAAGTTGGTTAGGTATTTGTATTGTAGATACTTATATACAAATGAACGTATAAAATGAGTTTATTTTCAAAAGTATAGATAGGTACAGGGTGGAAACGATAAGTGATTTCACTTGATTTTTAATTATACAAGATATCGAGAAACTGTTTAATGTTCCTGTAAGTGCTTCATGAGCTCTTTAAAATAATAACAATAAATAGGTCAAACAATAAACTGGATCTATGCGATAATTCAATGTTTCCGAATTTCATACTAAATGTATGCCGCCAGCCATACCTACCATATTAGAAGTGTTAATTTTTAATTGAGTAATATATAATAATCAAACAACAAACTCGTAAATTTTATTAATTGCATTCTTATTTAAATTATTTACGGAAAACATGATTTTAGGTTTAACTTGCTACAATATCATCAAGAGATACTAATTAATAAATACTAAATAAACAGATAAAGGGGACGGCATTAAGGCACTCAGAATTCTCAGAAACCATTGATTTCGTGTTTGTTTGTAACTGTATTATATGTATGAAAGCTGGAAATATAGGTTTTTTGAATAGATTCAGTTCGTTCTTAAACATATTATTGATGCCATTTGCTAGGTCTCATGAAGCACTTTTTCAGTAAGTAACCATTTGTTCGACATCTTGTATACCTACTATAAGAAATATTCGAGTGAGATCACTTATCGATTATTTTCGTCATCCTTATTTGTATTAAATTTAATTAAAATACACTAAGGCTGAGATGCACCACCTAACTTTGACCCTAACTGACAATAACCGGTGTTTTATGTTAGACAGATTTTTGACATCCAAAATTTTGATGTCAATGTTAAAGTAAGACGGTGCAACACGGCCTAACAAATGTATCGTAGACAGTACTTTTTATTTTCTTCATAAATCTTTCTTTTCTTTGTAAAGCTATCTACAAGCTTTTATTTTCTTTGACATCTGGAGTTGTAAAATCTTGCAACTTAAAATTTACTTACTTCCCGTTTTCCCATTGAGCTGAAATTTTGCATGTCTACACAGGCATGCAAAATTTCGTTTCATTTCGCACTAAATAATTTAATTTACACGTGTTTTCATGCGATGGCCAAGTCAATATATTTATGTAAAACGTTAATGATTTCCTGGACTGGACTTGGTATTACATGGATCTCACAACTTTTTACCGTAGAACAACTGAGTAGTGAGACTTGGTTTTTTGACAAGTATTGTTTTTGATGGGTTTGTATTACAGAACGCATGTGTACCTAATGGGATAACTGTTTAAAAACACGATTAGATAAATTTTGCTCTATGGATAAAAATCTTAAAGTTACCTCTGATTTTTTAGCATTATACGACCGTGGTTTATAATAATAAATTCTATAAAATCACAATGATATCAGTATTTACCTCTTTGATTTCCTGACTTGTTTAGATTTACAAAAACTAAATATTTATTATTAACTTTTAGATAATAATTTGAATGGCGCTTACGATGTTTAGTTACGAGCTCTTTGATGGACACAGATATTATAGATAACGTTTAAAAAATGGCACGCTCGTTTTCATACATTTCATTCTATTTATTTAACCTATCCATATTTATGTGCGGAAACGTCACAAAATCAGAATAAATTTTAATTTTTCCATCCCGCATCATAAAAACTAAAAAGTCAAAAGTAAAATTTAAATAGTAAATATTTTTCATAAACAAGCTTTTGATGCTGTAAAAAGAATAAAATAAAACATAAATTCTTTCAAACCCATCAACTTATTACTTTACTCAATTTAAAGATTAAAAACTTGTCGCGGGATTTACTCTGTAAAAAATACATTAATTATGTAACTTGATTTTGCTAAAAGTCTGATCTGAGAAAAAATCAAATAGGTAAATAATACATTATTTCTTTATTAGGTATTATGTATGATGTACTGTCTTAGGTACGATACAACTACGGATTAAGATCGTTTAGTCGACGCAGCGTTGAAATTGTACAGATAAATGCAGTTTGCGCACTCACTACGCGACGTCAAGCAATAAAAACCTAAAATTCGAACGCCAACTTTTTGCTACAACGCTCTTAAGGATGGGCAGCTTGGGGTCATTGGACAAAATTCTACGTGCTCGCAGACCAGACTATAGACAGAGTAAATACAAATGAGTAGGTCATCTTCATAAACGCCCGAGCGCGGTTTGTATGTGAGCGCGCCAATACGTAAGCGGCGCGCACGCACATACTGACAAAATTTAGCGGTGATTAGCGGTGAGGTGCCCCGAATTTTGTCAGTGTGTGCGTGCGCGCCGCATACGTATTGGCGCGCGCTCACATACAAACCGCGCTCGGTGCGTTTCTATGAAGATGACCTACTCATTTGTATTTACTCTGTCTATAGTCTGGTCTGCTAGCACGTAGAATTTTGTCCAATGACCCCAAGCTACGTATGTTACTAATATCACGTTTTATTTAATTTTATGAAGTTACTAAGCAATGTGTTTTTATTCTCCGCAGAGCTGGACGGCATCGACGAGGCAGAGGTGGTTCGCGACTTCACAGGCATGCTGCGCTCTATCATTGCTAAGAGTCCTGAGTGCCAGAACCGCTGCGAGATTGTCTATTACGACAGTAAATATTTTTAGTTTTTTTTTGTTAAAGGAAAACCTATGACCTACACTGAATTGTCCCACCAAACTCATTGACAGGGGGCGCCACCATTGTTCAACTATGTATAGTTTCCAACATGGCAAAAATCGTAACTAGCGATCCGGTATTGACGATGGCGCCTCCCTGTCAATGTCACGGGTGGGACAGTTTAGTGTATTGGGCTTGGACGAAGTATTGGGTCAATATAGCATGTTCTTATAAAAGAGTTAACGAATTTGCTTATATTGGTAAAATAGTAAGGCACTTAAATTTTTTCTTTATCACATGCATAGTAGTAAACTAGGTGCTCAGTTAAACAGTATTAAAAATAACAAATAGCATATAATATCCCATTGTAATTACAGATACAGACCCAGATCAGAATTTGGCTGACGTTCTGCTGGACAAGATCCGCGAGCTCCAACCAGACTTTGAGGACATTATCAGAGGAGAAGCCAATTAAATGGTACATTACTCTTATTTAATTTCATTCCGCAAGGTATGATTTTTGTAGATTTGTTAAAAACTAGTAGAAAATAGTTTCGTATTCTCTCCACCAGGCGGCGCCACTGTGAGTCTCATCCAAATTCGCCGAAATCAAAAGTTATCGAGTAAAACTCGCATTGTTATGAATCAAAGTCTATATTCTGTTTTGAGAACAGCTAAATTATTGTTATTGGATATTGGTGATGATGATTGACCAAATTATTCTTATTGATCGAAAATCATTCTATTACCGTTTACAATTTGAAATACAGTGAGTATAAATATACAATTTTTAAAATAAATGTTTTTAGATTGCGTTACGCACGTTTGGTGAAATTTCGTTTGTTTATAATGAAGGTGACGATGCCTTGGTTTGTTTTTTCTAAGTTGACTAGTCAAATGATAATTCGAAGTGTGTACCTACTTTATTCTAGCCCTCAGTTAATTACTACCTTTGAAATCAATTAGTTTGATGGCGTCAATGTGTTTTAGTGCCATACGAAATTAAAATATTATATTGTTTTAAAATTTTTGAAATGAAGGTTTAAAAACATAAATGACTGTTGATTGATACGAAGACTGAGAAGCAACGCAGCATTTGTAATCAACCTTAATATCTATTTTATAAAGGGGAAAATATTTAATTTTAAGTATGTTACTATCAAAATAGTAGGTATTAAAGTAGATCTCTAACATCATGACAATGACTATTTATACATTGCTTCTTTTTACCCGACAGCGCCAGAAGAAGGGTTATTTCATTACATTTAGTATCGTGACAAAAAGGTGCTATTTGGCCTGTGACGTTGTGATGAGTCATCATAAAATTGTCACACGTCATGTAAATATAGCCTAAGCTTTACATATTAAAAACATAAAAGGACAGTAATTTACCACTTGCTTATTAATTATTAAGAATGGATAAAATCCATTCAATATCTTAGATTAAGGAGACCTAAAACTTTAGTCGTATTCAAAGTAAAAAAAAATACTTTGATTAAAATTACTGCTTATGCCAAATAAAAATTATATTTTTAAATTTTATTATGTTTGTTATTTTATTTCATCATCCCACGAATCGGCTACAATTAATATAAGTTTTGTACACATCGATTCATCTGTTCAATGAGAGCAAAGATTTAGAGGAACCTGTGTGTGTAAAGTTGTATTTGTTCTTGTAATATGTATTATTCGGTTGGTACTTTATTAAATCACCTAAGCATCCCATAAACAAGAAAATTAATAATTTCCAATATAATCCAGTTAGCCTAAAATCTATGAATAAGTATAATCTAGATTCCCAAAACTATGAAATATAGATTCCTCATTTCTGATTCGATCTTGTAAAGAAACTTTCCATAGCACGCTGTGCAACTTTAAGCTTTCTTTTGGGGAAAGCGCTGGATGCAAGCCATTGTTAACTGGATAATCTGGAAATCCTTGGTGACCTTGTTCAGAAGTCAACGTCCTATGGCAGAAATGATGATGAAAAGCAAAATTCACTTTATCATGAAATGCTTTAAGCCAAGTTTCCATTCTATCTCGCATCACACTATCTTGAAATTATATTTTTTGAACGTTGAAAGGAAATATTAAAAACAAACGATCCATGTACTCGTATTACATGATTCCTAGACTCCAGGCCAGTGGTCTTTACCGGTGGTCCCTGGAGGCATTCCAAGTGGTCCCATAGAGTTGGTTAATAACTCTATGAGTGGTCCACTGCTCCAGGCAAAGTGCAAACAGATATACCTTGTAGTGTGTTAAAAATTCTGTTAACTGTTAAAACTAACGTTATTTGTATAACGTCTGTTCGCGGTTCGATGTCTGTGTCATAGAATTAAAAAATAGGTTGTCAGTAATGTCACTGTCAAACGTAAACGTCAAACGCACGTGTTGTATTTTGTTCATCAAAAACTTTGAAATTTGTGTTATTTTTAAATTAATGAGAAAATCTAACAATGGGGAAGCGTAAATATGATAATGACAAAAGTTCTCCATCGAAAGAAAATGCGACGAGTGAGGAGGCAGGGGCAGAAAATAATGAAATCGTGGAACAACCAGACAACACCGAAAATGCTGATGTTAAAAGAAGAAAAGTTCCTAAAACAGGTGGTTTTGATATTAAACACCTTCGCAAAGACTTGGCGGCAAAACAAGGCCAAGGAATGGGTAAGATATGAGTCGTCTGGATTTATTTTTACTCGTCATGACACAGGTTAAAAAGTCGCCTTTGCGGTTATAATTTTCCTTGAAATAAACAACGATTAGTTTATGTCTAAGTAGTCTGTTAAAAGTATTACTAAATTAAAAATAAAAGACAAAGTCAAGGCTGTAACAATGATTAATATTTGTGTAAATATCGTTTTCAGTGCTGACACAATTCCTTCAAGTTTGCCTCGACCCAGACAATGAAGAAGATTACCTGCTAGCTTATCTCAAGACGGGAGGCAACCCACACGAAATCCTCCGGCAAATCAACCAAGACAGTAAGAAAAACCTTACACTTACCACACCAGCGTTCCATTTATTCCACTTAATCATAGTCAAAGTTCAGTCTTCGCTTCCCCACATGATCGCTGCCACCGAGGAAGCGTGCCGATACTTCCTGAACAACTTTATGTCAACCGTGGAAATTATGATCAGCGAGAACTCTGGACCTCGGCACAGGAAAATAATCTTAAAGCTACTCACATCAATGGTCACTTTGAACTCTGACTTGGGTATCGAGATTCTCAGTCACGCACCTCTCACTCCTAAACATCTGCAGTATATTGTAGAAAAATCAAATTACAAAGAGAAAGACAATGTACGGACATCATTTGTTCACTTCATGACATCATTCCTTGTTGATGGTCACTTACCACTAATAAAAGCTCTTTTAGAAAAGCAAGGTCTGTTGAGCTTGGTGATACCTGGACTGGTGCATGATGAGGCTGAGGCTGTTTTGATCTTCCTCAATATCTTAAAAAAGAATGTAGTTGAAAACTCCTTCATTTCCAAAAGCTTAAAGCTAAAAACCTTTAATCATCAAGTTCTACACAACTTGTTTAAGATATTCACATGGAAAGGACCTCCAGAAATAAACTTTGAAGTCAGAAATAAGCTGAGACCAGAAATTGTGACATTATTATCAGATATTATTTTAACATTGTTTACATCACACAGATTGGGTCTGTATTTCATTGATAGCACTTTAGGAACATCAGATTTAAACAAAAATCAAAACTTGTACAAAGCTTTATTGACACTTAAACGGCCCTGGGAAAACAATAATGAGTGCCAGGTCATTTTAGAAATTATTCACAGATGTCCAGACTTGCACAGAGCAGTGATGTCGGTGGTTGAGCAGAGCTTTGAGCCACAACACTCACCAATTTGGGAGAAAACTGTAGAGTTCGTAATAAATCTACTGGAAAACATGAAACCAGAAAACGTAGTGCCCAAAATGAAAAGCTTAAATACTTCTCAAGCAGCAAATTTTGTAAGATTTGTCACATTACCAGTCCCTCTATTGAAATACATCCAAACAAGTCTTGGAAAGGACCAGTCAATATCTTTATATTGCATCAAGGTGCTGGTTAAAATGCTTCAGACTTTAAAAAGGTACATGCAAATTTTCGAAATGGATGATTCTTCCAATCGTATTTTGGACTTGAAGAATAAACTGGAGTATTTTCTGCCTAAACACTTACCTGTTCCTGCTACTATTGTCACACTCATTCAAGACGTCATCAATTATAAAGACAGTGGAGATGAAAAGCAACAAGATTATAAGCTTCCTAAAATTGAACATACAGATGCTTTAATAAACCTAATTGATGTATTGCTATTGTATAATGATATCCATCCTGCATTTTTCGAAATGCTGGAGGGTAATATTGACATGAAACAAATACTGAAATATGCTACTAAATTGAAAGATGGGAATACTGCTCTTTTGAAATTCAAAATTGTATCTCTGTGGCTGACACTAGATCGCACAGCTATTTCGCTTAAAAATCCCATGTTTAAAGATCTATTCCTTATCATGTTGGATGTTTATACTACTGACACAGATACCACCTGGTCTGAAGCAAAAATAACACTACACAACTTTTTTAGAAATACGTCTATTTTTGAAAGAGATGAAGATGAAATTCATCTGATTTTGTATGCTCTACGTAATGCGAAAGTAAACCCCATTTCACTGATAGCCGATATTGTTGAGTTTGTGCTGTCGCATATACAAGAACTGGCAAATTACGTGAGCGATCAAATAGTAAACTTCGAAATTACTGATGAAGGAAGCGAATCTAGTCTAAACAAATTATTTGATGATTTGATGGAAAATCAAAACACAGATGATCAAGTTTTCTTAGAGAATAAAATTCCGTCTACCTTTATTGTGGGTTGTATGCAATTTATTCAAAACAACAAAGAGGCAAAGAAAAGTTTGAAACATTTTCTATCTTGTTACATAGCCCATTTGTTCCATTGTAACTACTCGCCTGAACTAACGGAACTTTTAATAGAGGATTCTAAGCTGGAAGTGAGAAATTATGTTTCACAGTGGTTGTCACAGTCTGCTTCCTTGCCTGAATCCATCACAGCTAAAGATGATATCATAAAAGCTTTATCGAAATCTATCTTCGATAATGAAGACTTGCCACTCCAAGAAGTATTTAGATGTCTTGAGGAAACATCAGCAGAAGAGAGTGATATAACGATACATGATGTGCCATACAAAGTGATTACTACTGATGCAATTGATAGTTCAGAAATTTTAATATGGGCAAAATACCTTATATTTTGTTTAGTGCGTTTGACAAACATTGGCCAATTAGATGAAGATAGACAGAAAAAAATTATCAACTATTTTCATCTCCTTATAACCATAGGGAAGAAAAGTCATCTGATAAATGAATGTCGTTTGATCATGCTGTCTCTATTTAAAAATCCACATGTCTTGAAAATTTACAAGCCATTATCTGTAAAAGAAAATGATCCTTGCGTAGCATCAACTCAAAGCCTGCTTGATATTGTTGTTGTGCATCGCGATGTAGTCACACATTTGGATAACAAGCATAGAATCTTAAAGTCCTATCAACAGAAGAATTTCAATGAGTTGGTCAAAGCTTTCAGCAAAATCAACAAACGGAAAAATTTGAGTAGTGAGCTCACAGTGAAAGTCTTGGAGGTTGTGGGAATGACGAATGAAGACGATTTAGTTATTTTCAATAAAATATTTGCGTTGGATGCAAATTACTGCGTGAAAGATGACAAAGAGCCCAGCATTGTTTTAGACGTATTACAAACTTTGTTAAATAAATATTCAAAATCGATAACCATTGAAATGCCCGAGCATGTGATTCGAAAGAGCATGAAAATGTATGCAGAACTAATTTCAAACAAAGAGGTCACTGCTAATCTCACCAATTTGGAGAATTCTTTAACTGTATACTTTGAGAATAAACCTCATCATTCTGTATACGTAAATGACGACATTTACAAAAGATTTTTCAATGCAACTACGATCAGAAAGTCCACATCTAAATTAGCATCAGTACTATTGAAGTATAACATGAGATTTTGTAATATTTATAAAGAACAAATATCTCGTCCAGAAATCTTAAGCCAAAGAGAGTTGACACTGCCGTTAGGAAATGCTATCATTCATCATAAGCAATTTCTTATTGAAAACCGGGAGCTATTGCCAAAAGTATTTGCTGAATACAAATCCAACACAAATAAAATGCTGGAGAAACCCCACAAGGCTGGACAAATATACAATTCATGTTGGGAATTCATAAGAAAATTATTGTTAGAATGCTTGGATGTTAAGGAATGTGTACAGCTATTTAGCAAAAGCCATAAATACGAGGTTGCAGAGTCAAGCCACGTGCAGCTATTACAAGCCGTCTTCTTTAAAATCTGTCTACATGCTGAACATCACAAGAAGGAGTACCTTATGAACTACTTGTCATCCATGTTGCACATTATGACTATAGCCTTGAAAGAAAATAAAGATACGAAGACCTTAGACGACATCATAGGCAGTGTGTACAATGTAGTTCTTATCGTGAAACGCAAAGAAGGATTCAAAATTGAACAAAAGGATGAATTCAAAAAAGTTACAGAAAGTGCCGTATGGCAAAATTTCTGCAAAGCTGTCCTAAAAGACTCTTTAAAGGTTCGAACTGTTGCCCAGTCCAGCACCCCTGGACCTCAGTTACTGTTCCTGCTTACTACATTAGTAAAGCTTTTATACTCAGCGGATAGCGAGGATATAGTGACACTGTTCGATATGGTGACTTCCCATTCGGAGTTTTTGAATGTGATGTTGAGTCATCACAGCTCAGACATTAAATCAAGATTAGTGGAGTTCTTGTACACCTTGATTCAACTGAATAAATCAGTAATGAAACTTCAGCAAATCCCTGTGTATTTGAGCGCGTATCACGCTACAAGAAGTCCATGTGACCGGCTTATTCTAGCCATATTGCAATTTTACGAGAGCAACGGGCAGGCTGTGAACGAATATAAACCCTACGTTTTCGGAGATTCCGCCGCAAACCATTACGCTGTGCGGAAAACTAGGACGTCATCACTGTGGGGACATCCGACTCCCAATCGATTGTTCAATTTATTCGACAAAGAAACGATCGAGAGGACCGTGAGGAATTTTCCAGTGATGCAAAGGCTGGAGTATAACTACGAGTTGCCTCCGATCGGGGCGTGCCAGGAGTCCCTGAGGGCTACTTTGGTGGAGACCTCCAAAGCGGGTTACTTCAATACGAAGCCGATAAAGGACACTGAAGCGGCGATCAGTAATTTGTTGCGGAGTGTGAAGTATGATAAGCTGTTGGAAACGAATGTGGAGGTCACAGCGGTGTCACATTTGGAGGACGATGAGGGGGTGTATGACGCTGCGTTCGTGTTTCCCTTGCTGAGTCACCTGCTGGCTCCGGGGTCGGTGGCGTCGTGCTTCAAGATGATGCGGTCGGGTTTATTGGCGCTGCCGGTGGTGGCGCTGGGCTCTCATTGTGAGCTGATGCGTGCGGCGGCCTACCACGTGCTGCATCGGTTCTGTCTGCTGCTGGAAACTGAGACGTGAGATTTTTATTTCATTTTAATCATTTTAGATTGTGGGTTAATCATGTCGCCTTGCATTAGCAGCGCGACAAACGCACGACGTACTGCCGAAAATTTCATACTATGTGACAGCGGATGCCTGCCTTCAAATTATAAAAACCCCGCTGCCGCGTTGCTGTCGCGCTTCTAAAGTTCTAACGCCCTAATGTGAAAGCGCTTTATAATGGGATAAGTTCTCGGTGCTATAGTAGTTGCACAGTTGCGGGTTCGAATCCCGTTGGGGGGTAAATGTAGATTTAAGTATGTCTAATATACATTTTGTTCTGGACTTACCAGTTGTAACATTGCAGCTCTGCTGTTTTTTATGAATTGATTTCCTTTCTCAATATTCTGTTCTCAGATATCACTAATGACATCTATTGGCATGATTAGAATTTAGAAACGAATTTCAAATGGATGGCGCTCATTGCTTTGTGTTTTGCGATAAGGAATACTTTTTAATTATTTTTAATTAAACATTTCCTGATGTTTTTATTTTTCTAATTCTATTTTTAAACTAATTATAAATATGTAATTCTATTACATTCATTGTTTAAGAATAGTTTTGTAATACGTATATAGTTTCTAATCATGCCAATAGATGTCGTTAGTGGTATCTGAGAGTCGAATATTGAGTAACGAAATCAATTTACAAAAAACCGCTGAGCTGCAAAGTTACACAGTATTCAAGATCTAGATAAATAATAAACAAATACTTGTTTATTGCAATTAAGTAACTTTCTGTTCTCATCCCTGTCTCTTTCATTCATTCAGCGTGAGTGAAAAACAAAAACAAATAGAATAGGCTAGTTTCCTAAAAAAATTTTTTTAGTCCGTCAATTTTAATATAAAAAAATATTGGACACCTATATTTTGAATTTTCAATCAAACAAATAATTACAAAGTTATAGTGCGTTGAAGTTCCGCGCGACGTCACAAACTCTTGCTTTTTTACCCAGGAAACATCCCTATTGAATACACGAAAACCGTTTCGCTTAACCATTACTACTGAAAACATATGAGTACAACATGTAAATACTTATCCAATGTGTGTCAACATATATTTTTTCTTTTTCAGCCGACACAAGAACGACAAACTATTCCTCACGGACTTCATAAGCACTATTCGGCAGAGTCTTCCCACCGCCATCAGCGATCCAGCTCCCGAAGATGGAAACACCAAAGGGCTGAGGAGTCCTCGCCTCCCTGCAGTAGACGCCTTATACCTGGCGCGGGCTCTGATGGTCTCCACCGCCCCATTCGACCCACTCTACAAACCTGTCAACAACTTCTTCATAGCCAAAGAACTGGTGGACCTCACAGTCGTACCAGATTTTCTGAGCCTCTTCCACGACAGTGACGTGGTGTCAACGGACCGAAGGCTCTGGATTCTTGACGTCATCAGAGACGGAACAAAAACGATGACGGATATCAACGTCATATTCAAGACGATGTCTCTGAAAATGATCATGGACTTCTACTCTTCAGTGCTGAGTGACAGGAAGACAAAGGAAAGAATCCTTGGAGTTTTGAATTCTGTGATTTCGGTGCCTAGAGCGTTTGGGATTTTATTGGAAGGCTATGGCTTCATGTCATGGCTACACGCCGTTGTCAGACAACTGGGGAAAGATGACAAGACACTAGTCAGAACATTATTTGTGCTATTGGAGAATATGATTCACAGCATGACAATAAACTGTTTTGTGAGACATCTGGCGCTGGCAAGGAACCGCAACGCCAGTCATGTTGAACTCAAACTCAACAAAGATGTAGAATGCGAAATAATGGACGTTTTGTATTACTTATTGCCGCATACAAATAGCTTGGAAGACGAAGATCTGGTGGCGTATGTGAAAATATACAATTTACTCTCAAAAAGAACTTTGAAGAGTTTAACTAAGAAGCAGATTCTAGGCTTGGTTTGCAAGAGTGCTGCAGTAATCAAGGATGAAGCTACGAAGTTGTTAACAAAAGCAATTGTTAATAATGATGTTAACGTGTTGAAGAGTAATGTTATAAACAATCTAGATAGTTCAGTTAATGTGCAGTCGAAAGATGTTTTGATGCGAGAATTGACGGAAATAATTCAAAATTACGTCGCTTAAATATTATTAAATTTAAGTACATATAGTTTATGAACTGTATACCAAAATAAATATTCATCAAATGTTCATTTTCTTTGCTTTAATACCTGGACAAGACACTAGTTGAACGAAAATACCTTTATTTTATGCCTTAAATGTACCAAGAAACTCAGTAAGTGCAGTTGGTAGATCAGTAGGCCTTCTTTCCATGGACTTAAGAAATCATAGCAAGGTTCTTTGGTGCTGTTTACACAGATGGACACATCTCATTAGGGCTCTTCTTTGATTGGACTCCTATTTGGCAAGACAACTGCTAAGCAGGGAAATGATATCAGCAATATAATTAACTTGAAGATAGTTGGGTGCGGTGCCATTTATAGGAAAGGGCTCTAAATTGATCTCGGTGTAGTTTTACTATAGAAAGTAGGTAATCCTCATCTAATCAAAATCTGATTAGCTTTGTCAATTGTTAGGCTTAGTTAGGTTTAATTCATCATTATTTCATCCATACGACGTCCACTGCTAAACATAGGCTTCCCCCAATGATTTTCACAAAGGCCGGTTGGTAGCGGCCTGCATCCAGCGCCTTCTTGTTACCTTTATGAGGTCGTCGGTCCACCTTGTGGGTGGACGTCCGATACGTGGCCTTCACTCCAGGTTTATTTACCTAATAAGTAATACAGAAAAGGTGAAGAGATGAGCGACTACATTGAAGTGTAGTAATGCGAACTTAAGGAACTGTCCGCATTACATGCGCGTGCGCCGGTATGTCGTATGCGCGAGAGTTCCCGTCTCCGATTTACCGCGGTTCGATTCCCGTAATTGACTCGTAACTCCTGAAACGGCAGTTCGTAATTACTTGTTGATAGCGGTCAGTTCAATTCGGATTTAATGGTTCGTATACCATTGATGGCAAATTGCTATAGGATTCATAGTTTGCATTAGAAATCGTTTTCGATTAAATCATACAACTTGCTTATTGGTAAAAACTGGAAGGCATACTAATTTAGGTAGCGAAGGCACGTATTTTAATTTAGCAAAACGATGAGTAGATACCTACTTTTCAGACAATACTATAAAAATAACTTTTAAATGAGATGATTTTGTATGGCAAAGGGGACTATGATGCTCACAAAGTTGTTAACTTGTCAATATATTGATTTCAAAGCTAGTAAAATTACATCGAAAACTCTGTTTTCAGGGCTAGAATACCTAAAGTACCTATATTTTTAAGAAATTATCTCTTGGAACTATTGGTTTATTGGTGTTTGATAACTAGCTACTCAATTTCTTGTTGGAACCTCTTATGACGAAAATTGTAACTCGTATTCTCAGTAAGGTTTCTTGAATGTCCAGTTTGTAGGTAGGTAGACAATACATTTAATACTTCAAGAAACAATAGACCTATCCATAAATTAATACGTCTCTTCACGCGCTTAACGTTAAACCGCTCTACTTTCTACTGCCCAAGCAAACACTCATTGGACCTGATTAGCAGGTTGCCTGGGAAAGTGATGAACTGATAATAAGATAAGGGCCTGATTTAGTGAGAGATTTAACACCTTAGAAAGTTGGCCAAAATATTTAGATTAGATTGGAATTTCTAAATAGCCGCCAATCATCAACTACCGTTTATTAAACCTCACACTTAGTTATGTTTTTGGTATATCTTTATTAAATAATCTGCTATTTTATTTGAATACATATAGGTAGTCGTACAGTCGTACTTATGTAGATTTGTCGTACTTACCGTACCTACACTTTACCGAGAGACCTACTTAAAATAAAGTAAAAATGTTTCGATTGATTTGTAAAAAAATATAGTTTCTAAAAGCTACGTATTTCAACAATTCGATCAGTTAACTTCAAAAAGCATCACCCTTGTAAACATAAGAATTTTTTTTTGGGATTGACTGCCCCTATGAAGCTAAAAAAGTATTTTAATTGATTTTAGTGGTGTCAAGTTCAACAAGCCCCTTCTACGCGCAGTCGTCGCCTGGTAGCCTAGGCAACGTTACTAAACGCGTAGTAAAATCATCTTTTCTCTTTTCAGTAAAATGCGGGTACTCCCAGAAAGTTGCAAATGTCTGTGTGTCAGTTCTTGAAGAAATTTAACGAATGTGAAATTATCAAGTTTTATTCAAGATACAAATTCAAAATTGCTGGACAATGGGCAACAATCGCACACTGTCTTCAGGGTGCAGGTATGTAGGAACTATCTTTTTTATTTATGTTACAATTTTGTCTTAGAATTGCTTATGAAGTTTGATTAAGGTTAGACATTAACAGCGATACATGTGATCATTGACCTTACTAATAATTATTATTGTTACAAGAATTGGACCTCTATTTTCTACAAGAATCTCAATGTTAATCCCCTAAATGAATTCTTCAAGTCCAGAGCCGGACTCAAAACTCGTTTTTTATTAGGACCACCGAGTTTTACGACTCATAACTCACAAGTGACACCAATGTTAACACAGTTGTTAAGCATCAGTAAACATTTTACCAATTATTAACGACCAACGGATATCGTTGTGGATTTAATGATTCAATTGGACATCTCCAGTTTTCCTGTGTTGGTTTTACAAATCATATAAGTTATGCTAATGGCAAGCCGGGTTTGAGTTATGGAATAGTTATGACGGTTGATCAGGATAATTATTTTCTATGTTCTTACCTAAATTCCTTTGGTATTAAGTGAATGGTAGGTTGTTTTTATGTAGTTAACGCACTGATACCTTATTTAAATGCAGTAGGTATCTAGGGTGTATCTTATTATTAAGCGTAAATTCATTATATAGACATCGAGAACTTAAGTGTTTTTTATTATTAAAAGTTGATCTCAATCAAGAAAACAAGTTTGAAGTAAAACATGCACCGACAAGATTGGCTTACAAAATTGAAAAGCCCATTGGCAAATTCAATTTATCAGGGCTTCCAAACAGTCTTGTTTATGACGTACGGCGTACAGGTGGAATTTGGTCGTCAAGAGTGAAGGTTAAATTGCACGCTACGTGCAAATTATCTGGCGAATTTGCGACCGCCATTTTAACCGATATCATCTCGAATGATATAAATTGTATGATGAACGACAATTCTCTTGAATAAATAGGATGTCTTGCAGTGATGGTACCTTGTGACGAATGGATAGGCTTTAAAGAAGAGCTATAAAAATGCATATGATCATAAATACCACCTTCGCTTCGATTAGGGTCCGACTTATTAGGTTCCTTATTTCTTTCGTTCAATCCTTCTTCTAACATATTTTCCCCTTTCTTTAAATCTTTAAGAATAATTTCTTTATTTTCCAACCCATTTAAAATACCTTTCTGAAAGACAGAGATACCTTTCTGAACTGAATACCTGGGTAGAGCTGCAATCCAGTATACTAAAATAACCGATATAATAAACCGTCGGTTTCGCTAACTGCGTAACTATTTGTGCACAATCGGACAAATCAATGATACTTTTTTGTTGGCCAACAAATGGCCGAAGTTCAGAGATGCTTTGTGTATGTGGGAGACTGACCGTTCCCACGCGGGCAGCCTTGGTCAATACAACCGATTAGTGAATACTTTATTAAGTAATTCAACGTTAAATTTGATAAAGGCACATGTTATAAGCAGGCGATATACCGAAAATCAATTGTCACTTGAACCAGCCGCGACTAGTGAATATAGGCCGACTTATAACTGATCGGCTGTGGAAAAGGCATTCAAACTAATTACCTCTATCTGATCTAGCGGTTAGCGGTCTTGACTGAGACTGTAAGCTAGCGGTAGCGGGTTCGAATTCCGCTAGCATACCTACCGTCAGGTAACATTTTCCATGTTTGTGTGATGAGCAAGAACAGTCTATTAAGATTTTAGTCACCATAGCAATAGAAAATAAAACGTAGGTTTTCGACAAAGATAGCTTTCATAGTATTGTCTTTCCGACTGCCAACAACTTTTCCCTTCACGCTGTAATGTGTACCTTGGGTCACCCCTAAGCCGCCTATTTAGTTTTATACACACATAAATGATCTCATATTAATCACATTTACCAAATCATGCGGTAATTATTCATAATAACCGGCGATTATTCATAATTTTCACATTTATCACTTTGACCGTAACATAGATACTAGAGTATCTAGAGATAGTTGAAGTACCCACAGTAGCGGCGTAAGGGGGGGGCGGTGGGGGCGGTCCGCCCCGGGTGCCAAGCATCAGGGGGTGACAAAGTCGCGCAGATTAGTACTCACTGACGCATCTGCATGGCAAGGACGGTCGTGATGTCATGACAGGGGGGGTGCCATTCTGGGGTGCCCTCAGGCTATAATTTATATTATGACGGGGGGGATCTCATATTTCCCTGAATTGAAATGTCAGTGAGCTACTAAAATCTGGCATTGGCATTGGAAATGTCACAAAAACTTTCACACCTTGTAATTATGACTTCAATTCTGAAATACCAAAGCAAGAGATAACAGACGCTCTAGCAGTATGACAGGATACCCTTTTCAGAGATCTTTTAATACTAATAAAAGTTACATAATTATTATGTATGCCCTCTGAAAACGTATTTCACGTTGTATAAAGTAACGTGGACCTACCTATCAGTGTGCAAATGTCTTATCTAAGCTAGTGTGTATCAAGGTAAAAAGTAATTCTTCAAAATAAATGCACCGTAGTAAGTCTTGGTAACGATTTATATTTAACGAAAAATAAAATAAAACTCGCATTCCTCGCTCTCGCTCGCAGCGATACAAAAACAAAAATAGCGTATTAAATTAATGATTGACATATTTAGATTAATCATGTTAATATACTAGTACTCGCTTTCAATTCATAATCCTCCTTATTTCTATGTTATTAAGAGTCAGTCAGGTCTGCGTGATCAGATTTTGTTTTTGATACAGGTTGAAACTGAGGTCCTATACTATGCTATTCAGAACGATTTCTATAGCCAAATACGTTTACATCTATCTCTTTTACTCATCCAGGAGTGCTAGAGGATATAACTTGTCGTGATAGTAGTCGTTTTACAGAATAGACCTCTTGTTGTGAGTTTGAGTGGTAA